CGTCGAAGGCCATATCCTTTCGCCAGAGGAACGCGTCGCTCGCCCCGCCCCTTTCTAACCATCCCGGGGAAGGTCCTTCCATTTCGGCAAAGTCCAGGAGGTCCTGCGACGCCGTGCCGTTGACGTCTACAGCCAGGTCCTCGTATTTCATGTATTTGAAGCTGCAACGGAAGTCCCTTTATGGTGACGGCAAAGAGACGAAGGAAAAAGAAAAGGAAGAAGAAGAAGAGGAATAGGAAGAAGGAGAAGAAAGAGAATTATATGGAGAAGAAGAAGAAGAGTAAAAAAGAAAAGGAATAGGGAGAAGAAGAAAGAACATTATAGGGAGAAGAAGAAGAATAGACACAAAGAAGAGGAATAGGAAGAAAAAAATTATAGGGAGAAGAAGAATAGGAAAAAAATAAGAGGAAGAAAAATGAGAATTATAGCGAGAAGAAGAATATGAAGAGAAGAAGAAGAATAGTAGAAAAAGAGGAAAAGGAAGAAGAATGAGATTTATAGTGAGAAGAAGAGGAATATGAAGAGATGATGAAGAAGAAAATCCTGTCGTGGAAAAGGCGAGAAATTCAGAGAATTTCTGTCCATGTGATAAATTTCCCTTAATCACACCTGGGAAACACTTGTCTCCCCACAGCCCAAGATCCCCGTTAATGGCTTCCCTTGAAAAGGTGATACTTTCATATTTATTCGTAAGTGTACGTGTTATATATTATATTATATATATATAATATATATATATATATATATATATATATATATATATATATATATATATATATATACCTGTCGGGGAAATCTTGCATGAGGAAGGGCACCTCCGCCAGATCCTCCAGCAACTCGGCGCACACCTGCACGGGGTCTTCGCAGTCTTGGGTGTTGCAGCGAGGGTCCTGTCGCCGGGAGCTGGGGAGGGAAGGGAGTGGAGGGGAAGAGGGGGGAGGGGGGGAGAAGATTAGGATGGGGTGAGTGAGAGAGAGAGAGAGAAAGAGAAGAGAGTGAGAGAGAAAAAGCAGCATATGTACGAATATCTATGCATACATTACTTTTTTTTATGTTACTCGTAATAGAAATGATTATTAGCATGAATATATTAATATATATACCAGTCTACACTACTTACTAAACTAGTGCACGTGGGTCTCTCGCAAGGTAGATGACTTTAAGGTCGAGATCCATGTCTTCTAGCAAGGGGCGAACCCACCTTATGTCCAGACGTAGAACCTTATGAGGAAGATAATTGTATAATGGATGGGATAGACTGATCAATCGTCAAAACATATTTTTAATAACTCACTTTGCGATATCTCATGTAAATAAGACTCTTTTTCTGTAGCCACAAGCTGCCGCGTAAATATTAGCACGTAATGCCAATCTCTCTGTCTGTCTGTCTGTCTCTGTCTGTCTCTGCCTCTCTCTCTCTCTCTCTCTCTCTCTCTCTCTCTCTCTCTCTCTCTCTATATATATATATATATATATATATATATATATATATATATATATATATATAATATATATATATAATATATATATATAATATATATATATATATATATATATATATATATATATATATATATATATGCACTAATCTTTAATTCAATTTCAGTAAGTTTATCGGATTTTCCTCTACGTCCTTTTCTTTATTCCATTTCATTTCTATACTCGCCTCCATCTTCTTTTCTTCCTTGCCGCTTCCTTCCTCCCTTCTTCCGTTAACACACTGACTTACTTCCTCCCTTCCTCCGCTTACACTTCTGTCCTTCCTTCCTTCCTCCGTTTACACTTCCTACCTTACTCCTTTTCTCCTTTCCTTCCATCCCACTTCCTCCCTTCTTTCCATCTCACTTCCTCTCTTCTTTCCATCCCACTTCCCCCTTCCTTCCATCCCACTTCCTCCCTTCCTTCCATCCCACTTCCTCCCTTCCTTCCATCCCACTTCCTCCCTTCCATCCTTCCTTCCTTCCTCCCTCCCTTCCTGCCATCCCACTTCCTTTTTGCCTTCCTTTCATCCCATTTCCTCCCTACCTTCTTTCCATCCCACTTCTTTCCTTCCTTCCTCCCTTCCTTCAATCCCACTTCCTCCCTTCCCTCCTTCCCACTTCCTCACTCACAGCACCTTTACCTTCAGGAAGTGGACGGAGGCTTCGCGACAAACATGGCTGATGAAAGTCCCGTTCCTGAGACATCCTTCGAGGACAGAAGGACAGCGCGACTTCAGGAAAGAGTTGTGTAGCAGGAAACTCGGGCGACTGGCCAAGTGGTCGACGAGGTCCTTGTGCCTGAAGTAGCGGCAGTGAAGGAGGTCGTTTAGGAGGCTCAGGCGGTGGTGGTGGAGGGTCGTGTTGTCCTCGGGGGCGTGGTGGATCGGCTGCTCAGGGGCGAAGGGCTCGAAGCTGGTGGCGAAGGGAAGGGGAGGGTGCAAGAGATCTTTGGACAGAAGTTTGGTTTGTACTTGGGAGGGATACGCGAGAGAAGGGGAAGAAGAAGATGAAGAATAGGA